GGCGCCACTGGCGCTGCCAACAACAACGTGCCCATTTCAAGAGAAGCCATGGATGAGAATTTGGACCACTTGCCCCTCTTTCAGCCCTCCACCTCAGACACCCGCATTGCCAATGGCCGGTGGCGCTGGCCCCCATCGGTTGTCTTGGTCAAGCAATTGGCCCAGTTTAAGGCCTTTGTGGCAGCTATCCCTGACAAGGAAAAGCAGCGGGAGTTGCGCAACCAGCGCCGTCGCTACCAAAACTACTTTTCGCAGCTCAAGCGCCGCAAGGGTCACCGCTTTGCTGAGCTTGCCCGCCAACGCCTGATGCAACTCAAACCGACTGCCCATGATGCAGAAGACATTGAGGCGCTCTTGTCGCAGGCCACCACCGCAACCGAACAGATCATGAAAGCAGACCCCGGTGTCGGTGGGGCTGCCGAGTCCAGTGGTCATGCCAGTGCCAGTGCCACCAGTGCCGCCCCCAATGCCACTGGGCCCGCCACCAGCATCGCCACCAGCGTCGCCACCACCACACTCCCAAAGGCACTTCCCAGCGCCAATGAAGGGGCTGCAAGTGGTATGGACACTGGCCCTGATACCGTTCCGCCGCCCGTGCCTGGGCCCAACCCTAGTGCTGAGGACAACGTTTCCATTGTCCCCACTCCCGGGAGCACGATGGGTCCGACTGCCGTGAGCACCGGTCCCATTCCAGTCACCACCAACGCCCCGGCCGCGCCTTCCACCGCTGCCCCCACAACCAGTGAGGCCCCTACAGTCAACGTCGTCGCTCCTCCTGCTGCGACTACCCCCGCCCCCACCAATGCTTAGGCACTAGACTCCCCGTTCTCGAGTCAAACCTCACCCATGCATGAATGTTCCTCTTTGTTTCTCCGTTCCCATTGTCTTGCGTGCCAAACCGACCCACGCGCTCACTCTTCCCTGTGCTGCTTGCCGTGTTTGTGGTTGTTTCATTGCCGCCCTGTGTCTTTTATCTTTCTCCTCCTCGTTACTTTTATTCGGCCGGGGTCCTTTCATGCTCCACTACTCTGTCGCGCAAGGGCGTGATAACCGCATTCCAAGACCTCTTTGTCCGAAAAAAAAGAAAAAAAAAAATATTTTGCTTTGCAACTATTGAGCCTTGTCAATCCTGACGGACAATCGAGTGCTGACCCAACCCCAACTTGCATCACATCGTCTCCCGGACGCCTTGTTCTCCCTTCCTGCCATTCGGCCAATATCATCTTAGCGTGGAGTTGCCTTCGTCACACACACACACACACACACACACACACACACACAATGTCAGAAAATAAGCACAAGTTGTCAAAGGGCTCCAGAATGCGCGCGGAAGGCGATCATCACAATCATGATCGCCAGCCAAGCCACAGCAGAGGCGCGACTGCCTCGCAACAACGCAGGCTGGTGGGGGCCCCATCATCACACTATTGATTGCGTGTGGCCTCGACTCAGCAGCCACGCGGGCTGTTTGGGATGACATGTGGTGAATGGGCTCTCGCCCGGGCGTAGACCATTTTTTCTGCCGCTCAGTTTGCGTCCGCACACTTCCATCGACGCTCAGCTCAGCTGGCCTGACCATTGCACCCCATGCCATCCAAGCATGGCACCGCGCCTGCTCATGACCCTAGGCACTTTGCGCCGTCCAATGGCCTCGGCTGCCTCCTCTGCATCACCGGGCGGTACCGCTGCGCTCGCTTTCAAGTTGGCCATTGCCCTGCTCGGTAGCAGTGCGGCTGCTTATTACTTTGTACGTCACATACATTGGACTTGCTGCACGCGCACCTCTTACACGTCTCGCCCCTCAACTAACCAAGAAATGCGTAGCATGTAGCTGGCACACATGAATATCCGAGTCAACCTTCTGACCACATACCCCCAAGTGCCGTGCGCGTGGCCGGCAGCGCCGGTGCCGCCCAGCGTCATTCGCCCAGCCCTGCAGTTTCCTCGAACCCTCATGCTAAAGACACTCATCTGCACCAGATGGACCACGCAGCCAGCTTGGAAACGGTGCACGAGATCGATTGAGAGAGGCTGAAGAGAGTTTCGGTGCTCAACTGCTGCACTTTGGGCGTACAAGCCTGATATTTTAACTTGTGTGTGAATGCGTATGAACTGACTGAATGACATGTCATTGGAATCACATTGTTGAGTGTGTAAGGTGATCGTAAATTGACCGCCAAGCCTACAACCTCATCCAAATGCAAGCGCTTGGCTCGGTGTACGAGTCTACAATAACCAACAAGGGCCTCCCCGCCTAGTTACCCATCAGAAGCTTGAGTGCCTCAGCTTCGAGAGATGCTGTGTCTTGAGCCTTGACTCGCTTGGAAGCCGGGCCCCGCGTTGAAGCGGCCGGCACCGCATCCGCATCCAACTCATCACCCTCCTCGCCGTCGGGAGCTGGGGCGCGTTCTTGCGTTGTACGTCGCTTGCCACGCTGCTGCGATTTTGCTTGCACGGCAGGCGCAGGCGCCTCTTCAGCACCCGTTGTTAAGCTTTCATCCAGCATGTCAAAGTCCACATCAAAGCCAGCAAATTGGCTCTCGTCTGCTGGCTCATAGTCCATCCCATCCTCGCTGCCCTCGTCATCTGCCCCGCCTAGCGTTGCGCCGATAGAGGGTCCCTCATAATCCACGTCCCGATTCTGTCGCTCGGCCTTCAACTTGGCCTTGCGCAGTCGCTTCCGCTCCCTGAAAAAAAAAACAGAAGTTATGCCAACATGATGAGGACTCGCAGTCATCACTGGTCACGATGAGAAAGCAGGCATAACATTGGCCAAATTGCCCGCGGCTGAACCGCGCGACAAGAAGCAGGACAAACTTGATCAATTCGCGGTAACGGAGGCGATCCTCGACATCGGCTGCCGTCATGGCCTCGGATGCATCAGCCAACTCGTGATGCTCTACGCGGGAGGTCATGATGAGGAGCAGAACAAAATGGAGAGCAGGCGGTCCTCAAGATCCTGCACAAGACGCACCTTGGCTCAACACCTTGTTTTTGATCTGCTCATCGGTCATGTCCAGACCGGCAAGGTTGGGACCTTGCAGAATGGCGTTTCCATCGTCGTCGTAAATCACGCGCTGGCTCGGACCCGATGTTAGCAGCTTTGTACCTATCATTCATTGAAGCAAGAAATGAGAGGGCAATCATAATTCTTGCCCGTGCCTCGCTGTTGCAGTCTGGCGGACCTGCGGAACTTACGGGCAATGGTGGCTTTCTTTTGACGCTGTTTCTTGGACAAGGGGCGTTCTTCAACCTGATCAGACTCGAAGACCTCGTGCGTCTGCTTCTCGCTCACTTGCAGCAAGTCATCCTCCGATTCATCGCCTGCCTGAGGCCTGTCCAGCGAGTTTTGATTGAGCAAACAAAGGGGAGCGAAAAGGACCGAGGAAAGCCCTGATGATAGGAGGGCTGACGATGACCAACCGAAGCTTCTGAAAGGCCTGGGACAAGACATCTATGCGGGGCACAGGCAAAAAGTGCGCAAGACGACAACATGTGACAAAGCACCTGTTGACCGGAGAATCGCGATTGGCTATCCATTCTTACCTTGGTTCTTGCGTTGTCTAAGGCGGTCAAACTTGGTGCGAGGCGCGGCCGGCGCGGCCGGCTCGGCGTCTTCGTCATCTGAGGACATTTCCGCACCATGGTGCTTTTGCGTTGCAACACCAAAGGCATTCACCGCACCAGCCGGTGGCCCGACCCGACCACGGAGCTTTTCGCCTTGCTTCTGCTCCGACAGTCCGATTCAATCCCACGAGGAATGCAGTCATCTTGAGATCAAGCGCATGACAGCAGTAGCGAATATCGTCAAAAGTCACGATGGACATGCTCACCTTGGCAAACTTGATGCGCGGCGCAGCTGGCAGACCCAGCGACAGTGCAAACTCCTATCAAGGGCGCACAATAATGAAGCTAGCACCCTGCGACAGGCAACGGTGTGAGCAGGTCCAAGGCGCGGGGCCGGTGTACCTCGAGCGGTAGTTCATCGATGCGAAAGACCTCCTTGTTGGGTTGCAAAAACACCGAGCGGGTGTAGGAGATGAAGCACTGGCATTCAGAAGCGTGATGTTTGCAGTATAATGGTGAGACTGGGGTTAGCGGCTGACGGTCATCCAGCGAGGTCAACCAGACTATAACGAGCCACCCCAGGTGAAGAGAATGCCCTGCAACATGCGCACCTTTTGTGCCAGATACTTGAGCTCAGGCGACTCGGCACAAAAGGCCTTGAGGCGTGGAGTAATGCTCTTGATTTTGGAGGCGTTGGCCTCGGTGGAGACGACCTCGACCTTGCGCTCTGCCAGTTGTTGCACCATGGCAGATTCGGACGGCAGCAGGGTCAAGAGAGCCTTGCCTTCCTTGCCATAACGGGCGGTGCGACCCTACAGGACGACATCGGGGATTGCGTGTATGAAAATGAGGCCGTGGCGCAAAAAACTACGCCAGCACGAGCTTGTGGAAACGAAAGGACCCTGGCTGTTTCAGGCAAGGCAGTGCGGCAAGTTTGCGTACCACGCGATGGATATACGTAGCCACATCCTCGGGACAGTCCAGCTGAAAGACCCAGTCAACAGAGGGAAAATCAAGACCGCGCGCGGCGATGTCTGTGGCTAGCAAGACCTGAAGTGTGACGGTCGAAAATGGTTGTCAAGACCCGGATGAGCACAACGCGGTCCACAACATGCAAAATAGAAGACGGCCGCCTCACCCAGCAGCAGACAATGCAAGCAATGAAGCAAAGGAGAAACGGTTCTAGAATGACCGTCAGCCGCCACAACGTGCGCTCCTACGTACCGCGTGGGTTTTCTTGCTAAAGTCGTTATAGATGGCTACCCGCTTGGCTTGCTTTTGCTTGCCGTACAAGGCCAACAGAGGTACACCGGGGCGCATGCGCCGAAGCGTCTCGTAGATAAAGCGAACTTGCTTGCAGCTGGACACAAAGACGAGCATCTTGACATTGACGTGGGAGCGAATGAAAGAAAAGAGCACGTCCAGCTTCTGGTTTAGCGGCACGGTCATGTAAGCTTGGACCAGTTTGTGCGGAGTCGCAGTTTTATCCTGTTCATGGACGCTGATGAACTCGGGCATCTTCAGACTCAAGCGCGCCAGGTCCTTAACCGACTTGGTCTGAGTTGCGGAGAAGAGCTGTTGACCGTGATACACCGCAGGACCGATAAAGGAGTGTGAAGAGGTGCAAAACCAAAAGGGCAGGGGGAAAAGTGGGAAAGCATGGAAAGGAGGGGAGAAGGAGATGGGAGAGGGACAACAGGCAGTGAAAGGCGGGCACAAAGCACCAAGCATGACGCACCATGGTTTGTCGCTGCTTGGGAAGGTTTTCAAGGATGGCATTGAGGGTCTTGGCGAACCCCATGTCCAGAATGCGATCGGCTTCGTCCAAAACGAGCATCTGCGGGTTGGAAGCAGCCAAGGCGCAGGGTCGGTTATGGGGAGAGGGCGCGACAAGATCCCAATCAAACATTGGCATGAGCAGCTGCACAAGTGAGGCTTACCTGCAGGTTATCGCAGCTAAAACCAAACGTTTCATCCATGTGTTGGAGCAAGCGGCCGGGCGTGCAGATGATGATGTTGGTATTTGAAATGACGGCTTTTTCACGTTCAAGGGTCGTGCCACCAACAACGAGGCCCGCCGACATCTGGGAAAAAGGAGCAAAGAATAACGGGCACCCCCCATAGACGTGAGCGACAAGAGGCTTGCCTCGAAAGGTGCCACGAGCAGTATTGGCGTGCAAGGCCGTGAGAATACCCCCAAAAGCAAAAAGCAGGGCCCTTCAGGCCTCAAATACCCACATCGTGGAAGCAACCAATCTTGGTGAGGACTTCGTAGGTTTGCAACGCCTGCATAGTTGGGTCGAGGTGCACATGAGAAAGGAAGCGCAGGAGAGCAGGAGAGACCGGGTGGCATCCGGTTTGAAGTGGGTGAGGAGAAAGAGACTTACAAGTTCACGGGTGGGGGAGATGATCAGACCACCCACGCCGTCTGGTTTGGACCATCGCTGGCGAAAGAGGCCCTCGAGGACCTGATGAAAGCGAGGTGGCGAGCACAGGAACAAGCAAACGCGATGAGTAGCTGTTGTTAGGGCCGGGAAGGAGAGTGCGACGGGCTATAAGCTAGCGAAACGAAAGAAGGCAGCGTACTGGGATCAAAAAAGCGAGGGTTTTGCCCGACCCGGTTTTTGCAGCGGCCAGCACATCTTGACCCTGTATGATGCAGTACGATCAGGGTGGGTGAGGCAACCCCCTCGACCCAGCCACGGGCGGAGGGGCGCACCATCACACCTTCAAAGCCTTGATCAAGGCATCACGCTGAATTTCTGTAGGTCGCGTATAGCCTGCTTTTTTCAAGCCTGCCAAGATGGAGAGCGAGGACCAAGCATACTTGAGCGAACCAGGCGCAGCCAGCTCAGAAAGAGAAGGGCAGGGTGTGGCTGGGCATTGTTTTGGCCTACCACGCTGCGTAGCAGAGGAGAGAGGCAACTGGGCAAACTTTTGAATCTCACTGGGGTCAATATCCTGTGTGCAAAGCCATTTGATTCAGGCAATGAGGGCCGACAACAGCGACAACAGCTCTCAAAGGCAGAGCAGGACGTGTGCGCAGGCACCGGTCGAGTGATTGTACCTCTTTCACGGCCTGGCTCAGCTTCTCCAAGGCCTGTGCCTCGCGCTGACGCCGCTCGCGGCGCTCCTGTCGACTCTTTGGCATCTTGTCCAGCGATTCTCAACCAATCACCCACCAACAAGCCACCACCGACTTGATACCAACAACACTGAGGCGACGACGACGACGACGACGACGACGACGACGTTCTTCGTCAAACACGCGAACAGCGAGAGAGAGAGAGAGAGTTTTTTTTTTTTGGCGCGCCGTGAGACAGGAAATGCTGACATTTACCAACTGTTGGACACGTGTTTCCGCACACGCACACACACACACACACACACACACACACACACACACGCTTCTCTCTCTCTCTCTTTCTCTCTCTCTCTCTCTCTCTCTCTCTCTCTCTCTGTGAGATGTCAGCCATTTGTGTATTTTTGCCGGATTTTTGCCGGATTTTGACTTAATTTTGTGGGAATTTCTCGACCTCAACACGCACACGCGTGTCTCCCGTCCCGCACACACACACACACACACACACACACACGCACACACGCACACACTCTCTCTCTCTCTCTTCTCTCTCTCGCTCTCGCTCGTTCGCCGTCTCCTGTCTAGACGCTGTGCTCGTGTGTCCCTCAGCTGCCTCACCACGGGGTATTGGACTGGGACACAGCATCCTTGAGCCTCTTCTCTCTTTTTTTTTTTCTGTCTCGCCTGGCTGCCCGTCACCACCAGCGACCATGTCGTCCAGCTCCGCTACCAGCTACAAGTACGCTTTGACCTTGCGCTGCACAACTGCCGACGCCTTGGGAGTGCAAACTTGCATTCGCCGCTGCTACCTGCACTCATGCCTTGTTGCTGTTGCCTGGCGGTCTTGCTCCCCTTTGCGACTTCAGACGCGCCAAGACGCGCCGTGGGCGCAAGTATCTGGCGGAACGCGCGCCCAAGATCCACGAAAATCCCAAGCAAATTCTTTACATGCACGGTTCCAAGTGCTCTCAGATCCTTCAGGACATCTTTCGCGATTTGGTATGCCCGTACCCGCGTCCCTTAGTCGCCCGGTTCTCCTTTGATGCCTCACCATCCGTGCCCCTCTTCACATCTCCTTGTTTCACTCACCCCATGCTGCACATGGCTTTCATGGCCATCGTTCGCGCCCCTCGTTTCCAGAACGCCCTAACTGCCCCGCAATCCCGTATCTTTTCCCGGTGCGACCGCATGCACGGCCCACTCTTGTAATCCTTGCGGCCCCAACGAAATGTAAACCATGCTCATCGAGGGCACGCCTGTCTGGTTGTAGCAAACGCGATCTGCGCCCCATGGATGACGAATCGCAGCTCGAGGCTCTTTCCAACAAGCTCGACGTCTCCTTGTTTGCCATTGGCTCAAGCAACAAGAAACGCCCCAACTGCATCACTCTGGGTATGCTCGATGGATCCACCACCCCTCATGATTTGACGGCCCTTTCATCTCACCGGCCTGCCTGCTCGGCCACCACCAGCACGCACCTTCAACCATCGCATGTTGGACATGTGCGAGCTCCTTGTCACGGATTTCAAGCCCATGCACAAGTTCAAGGTTTGCACCTCAGCATCTACCACCTTCGCTTGCTGCTGCCCTCTTCTGCCTTGGACCTGCACTGAACCCACACCGCACACCCCTCCTCAGGATGTAGAAAAGCCAGCAGCCATGAACAAGCCGGCAATGGTTTTCCAAGGCAATGCGTGGACCCAAGACATCAACATGCGCAGCCTCAAGACTCTTCTCATTGACTTCTTCCGGGGTCCTGTCGTCGAAAGCGTCAATCTTGGTCCGTTCAAAAATTGGCATCTGCCAAACCCTTCGCTTCGCTGTGCATGGCGCCTGTTGTTGCCCCTTTGATCGCCGGCACTTGCTTGCCTTCCCAAAGTTGGATTCAGTTTCTCACCTTGCCCATCCCCCGGGGTCATTCGACACGACATCAACGTTGTTGTGTTTTTTTTCCGTTTGTTGGTTCTTTCACAGCTGGCATTGATCGGGCCCTCGTTTTCTCTGTCGAGGAGGACCGCATCGTCATGACCCAGTACCGCATCGACTACAAAAAGTCGGGTCTGCGATTGCCGCTTGTCGAGCTCACCGAGTGTGGCCCCTTCCTTGACATGAAGCTTGGCCGGTAGGACAACTTTCTGCTTGCCTCTTGCCCTTCTCGCGCCTGGCCATGTCGATGCAATTGCTTGGTGCTGTGCTTACTCCTTGCCATTTCTCTGCCAATGCAGCCCCCGCTGGGCCGCCCCAGAACTCATGAAGGAGGCACTCAAGCAACCCAAGCAGCTCAAGGTCAGTCTTGAGGTCTTTGTCTTTTGGTTTCTTGTGCGGCGAGATTATCCGGTGCTGGTCCTCGGCCTCATGAACCTCCGCGCTTGCCTCACAGACCAAGAAGGTCAAGAACGTCGAATACACGGGACTCGGCGACAAGTTGGGCCGTGTTCACATGGAGCGCCAAGACCTGTCACAGCTGCAGACACGCAAGATGAAGGCGCTCAAGAAGGGCAAGCGCTCGGCCGACGATGCTGGCGCCGCCGAGCGTCCCGAAACCGACGAGTAAACCCTTGCGATTTGCTAGCCCACCCATCGTGTTCAGCCGTCGCCCCAAGGGCGCGCCCATCAACCATCAGCTGTCTAGTCAACTTGTTTCAATCTTCTCTTCCGCCCGTTGCCCAAATGGCATGCCGTGTGTCGACACCCCGTGTATCTCTTGACTCAACATTTCACGCGGTTTTCGTAGCCCGGCGCTATCTTGGTCGCAAAACAAAGCGACCTCTGTCTCCATTGCAACCTGCCGTTACAACAAGTCTTCTATTGGCCTGAGAGAGCTGGAACGCGCGACAAGAAAGACATGTGGGTTACAGAAAATTTCAGACCTATAGTGATTGTCTCGCGCTCAGACCACGGATGCAACATCAAGATACGCCAAGCTGACGGCCCGCATTTGGATCACGCCCTGGTCGGCCATCGCATCGATCCACGTCGTGTTCAACTGGGGCCATGGAAACGTGTCGAGGTCGGGCATGTCGATCAACCGGATCCATTGACCATCCTGGTCAGACCTTGCCTGGTAGACGTGACCCTGCACACCAGCGGGGTTGCTCGGGTGAGCAGATGCTTGTCATGACTCATTAAACATTGAGCCCGGTGGTGTATGGACCGGAGAGAGAGAGAGAGAGAGAGAGAGAGAGAGAGAGAGAGAGCTGATAGCCAACCTGAACGTGAAGCCGACCAGCCGTGGGTTTGAGAGTCGGCAATTGCACGGGCACGTCTTGAGGGCAAATGTTCAGCAGAAGGACACCATAGGCCACGGCTGAAAAATTGGTGGTGTTGCTCAACAAAACCAGCTGCACGCAGTCAGGTACAATGCTGGCTTGGTTAGGTGAGGGCGCATAACCGAGGGATGGGTTGTTGGCAACAGTGTGCTCGAAGCGGTATGGGTAGCGCTCAAGCGCAAAGTATGCCGTATGCGCAAAAACCTGTCGGATGACATGAACGGTGAGCGTCGCCGGCACAACGGTGTGAAGAGCAAAGTTTGTTAGAAGTACACTGTGATGCTTCAGTAGGGACTGCACATACCGCCGCAATGGGCCCATACTGCACGCTGTCCAGTTGGTGGCTACCGGCTCCCAGCCTAACAATTCCTGAAAGATGGTGCAAACCCATACCAGAGGCGTGCATACAGCCAACAGAAGAGTCAGGGCAGAGACACAAAGCGAGTACATTTGATCTGGCTGCCCTCGAGTCAGGCTTGAAACGAGAAGGGGACGCTGACCAGAATTGGAATCCCATTTGTTGCCCGCTTGCGAGCCAAAAGCATGAATGTTCAACATTGAGAACTGAAAAAAAAAAAAAAAAAAAAAACATAATCAAGGCATCATAAAAAATAGGCATGCAAGGTATGATCGGCTTTGCAAGCGGCAAACGACTCGGCTTGGACAGACGTTGAGATTGGCTGCCGCAATGACTCGCGAGGCCTGCGTCAAAAGTAAAAGGGGTACACAGACGCCCATCAGGAATGCAAGGCCTCAAGGGCAGTGTGGCGAGTAGACTGTGGAACGGGCACGCTGCACCTGAAAGAGGGCATGGATGGAGCCCGAAGGAGGATCAGGATCGGTTACGACTGTGTTGAACTCGGTCATCCAGAGCTCTTTGTCAGCACCTAACAAGGCGTTGACTTGATCGCGCTGGTGCTTGAGCACAGCATATCCAAACCCTATCAACAGAAAGCAGTGCTTGAGGATGGTTTTGGGAATTTATTTGGTTGCTGGTGCGTCTTCCAGATACTGGGCAGTAAATAGCAATCAGACTTCTGCTATGACGTTGAGCGATCAGTGTCGTAGGTTGTGCCTGTTGTGAAAGCCTGTGGCTGGTGAAGCCCGCGTTATCGTACCAAGCGCCGTGGCGGCGATGGATGGTCCACGATCCTTGTCTGACGTGATGCTGAATGAATAGTCGTGGATCGTGATACCATCATAATCTAGATCAGACAGAAGCTGTGTCATTGCCGTATTCCATCCACCACCATTGTTCTGCAGATGACAGCATGGGCATAATCTGCGACATGAGCATTAGTCACGCACACGGCTACCCTGATTGAAGCGAAGCTAGGTGGCGAAAGGTGCAAGGACAGACTCCTCACCTCACGCCAAGCTTGCATCACTAATGCGATTTTGGCTTTGGGGAACAGCTGGCGAACACGGTCGATGACAGGCTTGGCACGGTCCACATAAGCCTCTGGCGTGATATTGTAGTCTAGCACGGCATGAGCGAAAGGAGAATTGAGCAAAGACGCTTGATGACGTATTCAGCCAGGTATCTTGTCAAGCGTACTGTGACTCAAGTAGAATTCATTGCCAAGCTCGATGCGTGTCGGGGTAATATTTCGTGCGTAAAGTAAGTCGACCTGACCCGCTTGCTGATGGGTGTCGAGGAGGTAAAGATTAAGGTCGATGATTGGGGTCTCATGATGCGGGGCGGCGCTCGCCACGTATCGAATAAAGTTTTCGGGCGAGAAGGTCTGCAGGGGCAGAGCGTTGATACCGGGCTGATATTCCCTACACGCTGACACGCGGCACTCCGCCAGATAGGAAGCATTCTGAGCAAACCCCCCTTTGAATGAGCCGGTGGGTTGGCAGCTACTACTGACAGGTCGGGAGATATCATCCGTAACCTGACCTGGATGTTCCAGTAATTGGCGACGGTACCACCCGGATACCTCATTAGACCTGGGAGCAGCCAGGAAGGTTGCACGATCAAGTTATCGCCGAAGCCTCGATTGGTGGCCTGTTTTATAATAATCAAGATGATATAATATTGCCGGCATGTGTGTGAAGCTTCACACACGACATACCGGCCCGAAGATGTTGGGCGGCTGCCAGGAGCGCTGAATCATCGTAGGTGAGATTGATGATTGGACCTAAGTGAGGCAGATGGAGCAGGCGAGGTAAATGAAGCAAGCTGCTATCAGAGGAGGTGGGTCCAGTTGCGAGGCATGTCGGCGTGGCTGGCCGCGGCACGTAAAAGCACGGTCACTTACCAAGCACTGTGTTGACGCCCGCAAAGATGGCGGGTGTATTGGGCAGCCCAGCGGTGGGGCTGGTTGGCTCGACGACGGCAGGCTGCTGCGAGCTTGATGTCACGCGACCAGTGGCGAGTCCCAACGCCAGCATCACAAGAACCCATTGACCCATGATGCTGTGTGCGCAAATGAAGAGCACAGCCAGATTCCTGATGAGACGCTTTGATGGCCATTGTGAGCGTCCGACCTTGCTCCCCTCACCACCATCCCACCCGGCTCCAGCCACATTGCAGAAGAGATCTGCCCAGAGTCCCCACCGCCTACGTGATCTATGAAACATAACATTCGGATGTCAAAATAAAACCAGCGTGTGTGTGTGTGTGGTTTTGCAAGCAAAACTTATCCTCTCTTTCGAGTATTCTCTGTCTCTGTCTCTGTCTCTCTCTCTGTCTCTCTCTCTGTCTCTCTCTCTCTCTCTCTCTCTCTGTCTCTCTCTCTGTCTCTCTCTCTGTCTCTCTCTCTCTCTCTCTCTCTCTCTCTCTCTCTCTCTCTCTCTCTCTCTCTCTCTCTCTCTCTCTCTCTCTCTCTCTCTCTCTCTCTCTCTCTCTCTCTCTGCCTGCCTGCCTGCCTGTCTGTCTGTCTGTCTGTCTGTCTGTCTGTCTGTCTGTCTGTCTGTCTGTCTGTCTGTCTGTCGGTCTGTCGGTCTGTCTGTGGCGGGTTAAACGGTTCGTGTCGAGTCGAACGTTGCAGATTGAGAGCCCTTCGCCGTAGACTTGCTAAGTTTCGAGCACAACCCGGGTCAACCTCTTGCTTGGACTAATTGACTACCAGGCTATCCTGCAAACTGATATTTCAGTCACTAATGCCATGAACGTAGACATATACAGTCGCCTTCATGTACTACACACAAAACTGACAACAGCCTGTCCGTCAGAAAGCACCGACAACCAGCAGCAACCAGCAGAAAATGCAAAAAACAAGAGAAATTAGCAATAAATTATTGAAAAATTAAAGAGAAGAAGAGAGAGAGAAGAATGACAGCGAGAGAGAGAGAGAGAGAGAGAGAGATAGATGAATTGGTTGAAGTTTGAGAGAGTTTGAGAGAGAGAGAGAGTTACGGGTGCGCGGGTGCGCGGGTGATACGTGTGTGAGCTTTTCGTTTCGTGTGTGTCTCTCTCATTTTTTTTTTTCCCTGTCGTTGTTGATGCCTGTTTGGCAGTGAGGCGCGGCAGTACGGTGTGGTGGCAGTAGCGGCGCGAGATTGCTGCTAGAGACGCAGTGGGAGCGGTGGCTTTTGGAGGAGCGTCAATCAGAGCGGTCGTAGGTGGCGTTGCAGATGAACAGCAGACCACAAAAGGTGTGTGTTTGCGATGGGCACGAGGGCGCGACTGCTCGGGTGCGTGTGCACGCGCTCGCCTTCTCCCTCAGCCGTCTCACCCCTCTGAACCGAAATTCGTATCCCACTGCAGGAATAGCGATAGTGCCTGAGCGATTCAGTTTTCAAACCCAAAGGTACCGGGATCATGTCCAAGGATGGTGAAGACCAGGCGTTGATCGCCCACTACGACAACGAGTGGGCTACCGGTTTTTGGACGGCCCCGTGCGATGACCCATGCTTCTTCTGTGTCAGCCTGCTTTGCTCTCCGGTGAGAACGGCTGCTCTTCGTTTGGCTCGGCACCACCTGAGACAAGTTCCTCTGTCGCTCGAAAGTGGTCCAACTTCCAACGTGCTTTGCCAGCTCACCAGGCTCGATGGGTTGTGTGTAACCTGTATCGCATGTGCCTCTCTAGTGTGTCTCCTTTCATCTGCGACAGCGTCTGCTTCACGATGACCTTAGCGAGTATCAGGTGCGCATGCCACTGCCTGGGTGTGGAGGAAGAGCGGGTTGGCGGGTTGGCGGCGAGGACAACAGCTGCAATCGACCTTTTGGCCGCGAACACACCCCATCCACTTGTTCTCTCTCAGCACACACCCTGTGTATGGCCGACCACTGCTCTTAGTGCTGTGCTGGCCAGTACGATTGGCTGCCCATGGAGTGTTGCTATTGCCGAGATTCAGCCTGTCCGTGCTGCTGGTTGGCCTGCGAGGTCGTTTTTTTCCATCCGTGCAGTATCATGGGCACCCGCATGGCCCTGCAACATGAAATGCAGCTGGAGAACACCTGTTGCGACAAGTTTTTGCTGGTACGGCAATGAGCCCCAACATGGCTACAGGGTGGTCCGCCAAGTTCAAAGTATCTGCAATCATTGCGCGTATCTCTGTTCCATGCATAGCTTCTGATTGCTTTCGTCAAGGCCATCAGCTGCATTCTCAAGGCTGTCGGCTGCCGGAGCCAGGCTCATGCTTGCGATGCACTGGGTGATTGCATCTTCACCTGGTCTGTCAGAATGGCCCCCTTTGGCTAACGTTTGGTGTAGCGCTTTGCTGCTGCTGCTCAACCTCACCTCGCCCTTCCCGTGTCACCCCCACCCTTTCGCCACAGTGTGTGTGGGTGCATTCAGACTCAGAACAAGCTGCAGCTCGACTATCGTGATGATCCACAAAAGCATTCCGTGGTCGTTCATCAGCCCACGGCGACACGCGCCGACGCACCTCCTGCCTACCATGCCTAAACTTTTCTTTGTTGGTTTTGTATAAGGCATTATTCGCCGAATTTGGTGCCAAACTCGTTCGACTCACTTGTGCCTCTGCTCAGTGACTCGATCTGTCTTTAAACCCTTTTGTTTGTACGTGTGTTTGCAGTTCTTGTTTCCTTCACCATATGATGAGGTTTCTTTTGCCTTTTGTTCTTTATTGTTGGCACCCCTCCCAGAGCCGAAATAGCCCAGTCAGTACGACTAGATGATACGGCGTGCCCAATCCACACATTCCCCACCTTGCACGCTTCACGGGCAAGCCGTTGACATCACATGACGAGTGGTCGCTTGACGTATCAAAGATAATTCCGATACGCGCATGTCATTTTTAACACAATGACAGGCTAATAGTTGCTATCAAAACTGTTTGTAATGCGAAAGGGCTGAGCTGCAGCTTTGACCTGAACAAAAGGGCCACGCATCAATGCAAGCTCAGACGCCTAAAGGGCATCGGGCCCACACCTAAGGTCATTTACAGGGCAAAAGGGTCGTTGGCCCGCTCACGGTCCCAGTTTTCTGAAAAGGCACCGACAAGTGGCACTGGTGTCTCGCTACTCCCATTGTCGCCCATGTCCGATGTCGCTGTCTCGCTGCCCCGCGGATACTCCTCCCTGCACATCACAATGAGACAATAGCATTCCGCGTTATCAGTCGGACAGGAGACTGCTCGCGAATCGTGGCAGTCGAATCGTCACACGTACTCTGGCAACTGCTCAGGAATTCCCTTGAAGTAGTTTGTGATGGTCAGCCAAATATTCTCAAACGTGTCGGTGCCTGCAGACGAAGGTGTGTGAGAAAAGCTTGGCTGAAAGCGGTTCACAGTTCATGATCTATGTTCCAATGTTGAATGCGATGGCGGACAGACGCACCGTCCATATCCGGGGTAAACGAGATGGTGGGCCGCACGAAGCGACGGTCCATGCCCTGCCACAGACTGGCCAGCCACCCCTTGACGGGCTTGTTGGCCCGGTTTCCGGCCAGGACATACTGATCCATGGGGTCCTCATCGTGGTTTCCAGTGCTAACCACGGAAGCGTCGATGCGCGAGCACTGCGTGAGCGATGGATGTGGTCAGTTTGGAGACAATGCCGGTGGCCTGACTCACCGAATGCCCAACAGCTGAAGCATGGCGGCAGTGGTGCCACCAAAGCACAAGACCGTGACAATGACAATCACCAAGGTCGTCGACAGCATCATTTGCTGCGCTGTTGTGGTGGTGTTGCGGATGGCAAGGGCAAAGGCAATGGCACCACGGAGGCCAGCCCACCACAGGATGCCCTACAAAACAGCGAGAGCGGTAGGTGAGCCACCACGGGCCTTGCGGAAAAGGCACGGCGGCCGACACGTGTTTTTCACTACAAGTAGACCAACCTGGTAGGACCAGCTGATCTTGTGGGTGGGCTTTCGCACAAAGCGATTGGCCAAAGCAGAAAGGAGCAGCACCTCCACGGCGCGTGAAAGGAGGACCGTGAAGAGCGCGTATGTAATAAACCCGGCGTCCCACTGATGGCACTACGCAGCGCGCCAAAGCAAGCGTTCGTTACTTGTCCTGGCAGAGTCTGGGTGGTAGAGACGTCATGTTGGTAGGGCTCAGAGGTTTGCACTTACGCGGTAGGTAAAGACGTTGAGGCCGACGTAGGAAAAGAGAAAGTTTTCGGCGAGAAAGTTGATGAGCTCAAAGAGTTGTCGGGTGCGCGCGCGTGCTTCATGGGAGAGCGTCGGATAGGTGTAGTGTGCCTAACAACGCCCAAACGTCAAAGGCGATGAAACCAGAACGAAGCATGACTGCGGCGTGTGCGAGTGGGACCGTTCTCCGATTCGCGAGGTGTGCATCGAGAAGCTGGCATGCCGTCGCTCATGCTGATTGTACCTGTGAGATGCCGCAAAAAAGAATGGATACAACTCCTGAAAGACCAAAACCCTCGCCAAAAAGAAAGCTGCAATAGGAAAAGATGACAAAGACAGCAGACTCGAGCAATGGGAAGGCCTATAGGGCATCCAAGGATAAGTCAATGAGAGACCACAAAACCTCTTCTCCTCGAGTGGTATACTGCGTGCACGGTTGTATCACAAGACGAACCCGAATGTTGGAGAACTTGAAGAAGATGGAAGAAATCATGCCCACCAAAGCCCCGCAAGCCAGAGATCCGCAGAAGATCAGCTGGAATAAAAAATGAAGCAGGAAAACCAATCCAGTGCGCCGAGGTGAGCCTGATGGTTATGTAAAGGCGTGCATAACCACGGGGCTGGTGTGGTTGTCTCGCGTAGCGCCAACAAAGGCGATGTACTCGCACCAAGAACACCCAGAGCGAGTAAAGAATGCGGCCAAAGGTGACACTATTGCCCAATTCGGGTCGAAATTCAGAGACAGAGCTACGTGGGGTGGAAACGACTTGCTCGTGAGGCAATAGCTGGCTTGGGCAATGGCTGTGGGGCGAAATGGTGCGCATTGCGGGCAAGGGCGCACCGGTACATGACAATGGCAACGGCATCATTGAGCACGCTCTCGCCAAAGACGATGGAGTAGAGGCGGTCGTCAACGCCCAAATCGCTGAAGATGGCCAGGACGGTGACTGCGGCGAGAGGGAGGGTGAGTCAGGCGACGTCATCGGAAGGACTGTAGCGACTTTGTCACTCAACGGTTGGAGTCAGAGAGACACCCACCGGGGTCCGTGGCGGAGATCAAGGAGCCGAAAAGGAAGCAGTCCGTTGTCGTGAGAGGATTGCTCTCACTCGATTGCACGTAAGCATAGATCATGCCACTGCCAGGACGGGGAGAGGGAGAGGGAGAGGGATTGTTGCAGGCCCATGTTAGAGCTCAAAACATCAAAGCATGCAGAAGAGCGCTTCGATCGCAACATCAGCAGTCGATGGCATCGTGGAAAGGGGGAGGGCGGGGCTCGCATGTCCAATTATGGCTGACCGCCCACGCACTCACCCGGTCATAAACGCCGTAATAGCCGTGCCCATGAAGGCATACGTGAGAATAGCACCGATATTGCGAAAGAAATGTTTCTATCGGGCGACAACGGCATGCCAAGAAGAGGTCATCTGAATGACTTGATGATTCCAAAAGCACGCATGGCAGGAGCGGGGGTGGGCGCTTGCTGGGCGCTTGCTGGTGGTCATGAAATTAGGACTGAAGAGCCGACCTGTTTGAGGTCGTAACCCGCAAAGAAGATGATGGGCGGCAGGAGAACGTAGAAGAAAATTTCTGAATCAAATACCGCCTGAGGGCATGAAAATCGAAAACAAGCGTGAGCGCCGACTGCGGTTACCGAGATAAGGCAACTCTGACGCTGCGGATTCAAATGGCCAGCTTCAGTTTGGAAGGCGCGTGCTCATGACCATGGCTGCACATGAGCTTGGAGGTGCGAGCTGGGCGGACCAAGCCTCACCTCTTGTTCAATGTCCTCCACAAATTGGGTGTGAGTGAGGGTGTTTTGCGATTGATATCGGGCGGTAGCATTGCAAACGGCGGGGTGCAGCGCCTTTTCGCCGTCCATGTCTTCGATGCGATCCATAATGAGGCCAGCAAAGAGGCCTATGACAAATGATGGGGTAACACGTGAGAGTGGGTCAAGGGCAAGTCCGGAGGAGTATGAGTGAGGCACGGACCGAGAAGGAGGGAGAGGCCGGTTTCGTGAATAAAGTTGTAGCGACGAAGTTTGAAGCGCCACACCAAAAGAATGGTGACAAAGAGGAGGCCCAGAAAAATCTGTGTGGAGCAAATTTGCCATCAGATGGTGCACCGGCCGCGGTAAGACTGGCGGATGGGGCAACTCATGAAGGGGGGCAGAAAAAGAGGCGCAGTCTGACCAAGAGAATAAAGCTGTCAGTGGTGTGCTGTTCTTCGGCGAGAATCTCATGTTCAATGTCGAGCTCCTCAACCGCCAATGTGGTGGTGGTGGTGGTCTGCAGAGCGCCAAGGGTCGGGCGCAGATGGTTGCGTGAGAGATGATTCTTTGGAGGTTGAACGAGGGGGTGACTGGTTGGTTGCGCCATACCGGGGCGGCGGTGCTGAGGAGGGTGGTGACGGCTTTGATCACCGTGGCCGTGGTGGTGGTGGTGGTGGTGTTTGCCATGGTTGGCGGTTGCTGTGTTTCGATGCAGACCCAGCAACCAGGGCTCTGGAAGCGTGCACACGGCACAGAAGCGGCCGGCGGGCCGGTCAAAACAGACGCGAAACCGGCTTGAATGCTCCTGTGAGCGACAACGCCAGAGCGGGGTGAGTTGGCCTCACACTGGAGTCAAGCCATCAGATCCCAATTCAAACCTAAGCCACGCAAAGGATCAACCAGCCAGCTGTCCCGAGAACACGCAACGCCACACCAACATCAAGGGATGGATCGACCACTGACAACGAACCGTTCAGATGTGTGTGTGTGTGTGTGTGTGTGTGCAAATGCAGAGAGAAAAAGAGAGAGAGAGTGTGTGTGTGACTTTTGAGAGAGAGAGAGAGAGAGGAGAGGAGAGAGAAATTGGAAATTGGTTTGGTCGGTTAAGAGAGAAAGGGAAAAGCACAACTACCAGAGAGAGAGGAGAGAGAGAAAGCAGAGAGACAAACAGAGAGAAACACATAAAGTAAAATACTTAAAGGCGTCTTGGTTTCCTCTCCGTCCAGCAAGATGCGGTCGGTCAAGGGGGGCGGGGGACTGCTTGGGGCGCAGGTGGTGGCTGGCTCGGTGGTGGTGGTGGTGCTGTTGATGTGGGTGAATGGTTTGTTTCACCAACGGGTTGAGATGAGTCCATATCTGGCCGAGTTGGCCCGCAATGGATCGCAACCGCGCGTGGATGTCTTTGTCGTGCTCTACAAGCCAAGCTGCATCAATCGTGCAGCCATTCAGGCGCTAGCTCAGCATACGGCACGTCGCATCTTTGTGGTGACACCTGAACGATATTGTCGCATCGTTGAAACCTTTGATCCTGCTGTTCGCTGCATGGACGAGACCAAGGTCGTGCCGGGCCTCACCGTACCGGCGCTGGCCGCCATCATGGAGGAGCTGGGGCTCGGGCAGGCCCGAGCTGGCTGGTACTTTCAACAGTTTATGAAGTTGCTTGCCTGGCGCAATGTCCCCGACGTGACCCCTCTCTTCTTGGTGTGGGACAGCGACATGATCATGCTTCCCCAGTACCGATCCTTGGACCTTAAGGGCCGCCTTCGCCTGATGCGCGACGACACCCCGCCCGTCATGGCTCATGATTGGTACCGCAACATGACCGGATGGCCCTTGTATGACAGTCACCACGACTTTGTGGCTCACCAGATGCCCGTCTACAAGCCATTCATGCTCGAGGTTCTCAAAGCCTTACAACTCGAGGACCCCCTCCACGCCTCCCCTCCCACAGTCCTCGCTTGGGTTCGCCGTAACATGCAGGCCGTTCAGCAACGCTTCGTCGCCACGGGCCTCTCCGAGTACATGGTCTACTGCTGGCACCTCATCATGCATCATCCAGAACAGACGGCACTTGTCGAGGGCGTGCATTTTGAGCGTGACTACTCCCTACACCCGCTGACCCAGGCCGCACGCCTCCTTGATGGCAATTGCTGTCCTCGCGAAGCCATCCTACACGCCTATCTCCAGCAGGTGGCCAAGCAGCCCGGCCTCGAGTATGCCGGCTACGAGCTCGGTCATGGGCTTGGACAGTGCAACTTCAAGGCCGCTCCTTTTGCTGACATGTACTTTCATCCCTCCGAAATGGCCCAGTACCAGGCTTTGCTACCCCCGTTAGCTGCCACTTAACTGTTCAAAAGGGAGAGATGGTCTTACTTTCTGTTTGGGGCCAGCGCCAAGAGTAGGCGCGGTGGTCCTCGTGCGGTGCTTCTTGTAGCCTGGCAATTGGCTGCTCACTGTACGAAAATGTCGTCATTGTCACGTAAAAAAAAGAGAGCCCAAGGCAATCTTGTTTATTTGTTTGGTTGTTTGGTTGTTTCACTCATCCCAAGGTCATGGGGGATGCGGCTGCCGCTTAGTCTGGCTCGGACGCAATGCCGCAAGAATGTATACAGAAACCATGGTGCCATGGCCGCATTATGACTGCGATTAGAAATTGAAGAAAGAAAAAATGCTGAAAAAAAAAAAAGGAGGTCACGAGAGCAAGGTGTTGTACACAGGTTGGTTGGTGCAGCAGCAAAAAGCGAGTTACTGGCTGCAGCCGTGGCTGCCGCAGCCCAATGGCACAGGACCGGCTCATCAGTTGGAAGCGGCTACACCCATCATAAGGCGCTGTAGCTTTTGCTCATTGTCTAGGAGCTGCACTTTGAGATTTGCAATGGCATCACGCTTGTCTCGGACGCGCTGCTCGTAATCAGCCAGCTCGGCCTTGAGCGGCTCGATTGCCCCCTCGGTTTCTCTGACAGGCCGGGGACCACAAACCCAAAGTGAGCATCATGTGGTGACTGGCGGTTGAGGCGACGTGTGCGCCAGAGGCCGGAGCCTACCTTTCTTGTTCATTGAGTGCCGCCGCATGGTCCTGGTACTCCTCACGCCATTGCAAGAGTTCCTTGCGCATGCTATCAACGTCTTCCTGGATGTAGTCGATGATACGGCCGAGGGGGTTGGCACATCGGCAGAGCGTTTGCACGGACATTTGCAAGGAGAGGACCTCCTTCTCAGCTTGCTGACGTTCCAGCTGCAACTGAGCATCGTCCTGATTTGTTGAGCCTTGTGTGGTTGGCCCGGCAGTGGTCACATCTTCATTCTGTTGCGCCTTTTTTTCCATAATCTTGCGCATGAGCGCGCCTTGTTCCCGGCCTTCACCGTCTTCATCCATGTTCTCCTCATCCGCTGCATGTCCAACCCCGGGCAATGCCCCTGCGCCAACTCCGTTTTTGCGATCAGCACCCTGTTGCACCATAAAGCCATCATCGTCATCATCTGATTCCTGTCCTGCTGAAATGATGCCTGCCGCCTGTCCCGCTCGCAACGTGGCGGCCGCCGATGCATTTCTGAGCAGGGCACAAAACGGGCGCCACCATGGTCAGCAACAGGTGAACGGATGAGGGATGCACTGAGAGAGGCGAGCAGATCAGAATTGGGACGCAGGTACGAACCGGCTGCCGCTGTCCGTGCCCTCGGCTTGTTTTTGTCGGGGCGGGGCTGGGCGAGCGCTGGAGGGTCGCTGGCGTACGCTGCGAACAACATTGCCTGGCAGAGCTGCATCACCAGCCTCGGGAGCTTCTGTCGTCGGCAGGCCCAGGTCGCCCGAGGGCGGGTTGGCGGCCCCGACATCACGCCGGCTCATGGGGCGCGCTGATGGTTCGCGGGCGCGTCGATGATCGGCTGAGGGCGGTCGCTCTGAGCGAGGTCGAGAGGTGACCTCGGGTTCTGCAGCCTCGTCAGCGGGGCCAGACGGGCGACCAGCCTCAGCATTGGCACTGGACTGGGCTTCAGCGGCGGCAGCTTCGGCAGCTTGAGCCTCAGCTTTGGCCTTGGCTTTAGCTTTGGCCTTGGCTTCCGCCTTTTTGGCCTCGGCCTCAGCTTGGGCTGCCGCGGCATCGTCGTCAGCCGCAGCACTGGCTTCAGTCTTGGCGGTGCTAGCATCGCCTTCCTCTGCACCACGACCACCGCTACTCTGGGAGGCATCGCCCTTGCTCTTCCGGGCGCTCTTGCCCTCCTCGTCCTTGGCACTAGATTTTGATCTGGGGTGGAGAAAAGAGGCAGGCACGACAGGTAGCACCCGTTTCAGGTTGGTGCTAGTTGGATACAAGCGGGCCTACAGGCGTGGAACGACGGTCGCGCACATACTTTGATGATTTGCTGGCCGGTTTCTCGCCGGCCAGCACACGCTGTACGGCTGCACTGCTGTCCAGTTTCTTACGCACGGCATAAGCCATGGCCTGCAGCCAGACATTTGTATTTTCGGGGTCGTGGCCAGCTACAATCTTGCTCGATTTGGCTGAGAGTGACTTGCCAATCGTAAAGGCTGCGTTTCATGCATCCAGACACACGGGGAAAACCAGCGTGAATGGATTGATGGTAGGCCAAATTGCAGGCTCAGGGCCGACCGCCCGCCGCGGACACAGCTGCACACACGCTACGCACCGGTGGCAAAGATGGCCTTGTCGAGAAAGTCCATCTTCTGTTGCTTATCCTTGATGTTCCCCGAGTCCTGCGCACCAGCAAGCAAGTGAGGCATAATCATGGTGGACTTTCAGCTGCGATTTCCGATGCGCGCGCGTGCAGGGATGCGTTCGGGGCCAGGCCAAGACGCACCTGTTCTTCAGCCGGAAAGAGGCCTTCAAGAAACCCCACGGTACGCATGAGCTAGTGAAGGAAGCGAGGCAAGGGCATGTCATGAGTTGGGTGTAAGCTGAGCGATTGGCTTGTGTGTGAGCGCCCGACACTGGGCGCCTGCGGTTGGTGGGGCGCACCTCCATGATGACGTCGTGGAGAAAGCGAAAGGGCGGGCGGCGAAGCAGCTTGTCAGTGAGCGGCGGCTTTTTGATAACCTTGCCCAAGGAGGAGGCGGTCTTTTCGACCAAGCTATCCAAGTCAGCCATGGTGCTGATCTACAAATGTCTGCGTGTGTGCGTGCACTTTGAGCTCGATCTGAGCGGCCCGCAATGACCGGGCCACGAAATGGACGGCAACGCAGACAGCACTGCCGCTCCGATCCAGCTATAAAATTACCAAACGGCTGTTGCAGCCTCGCTGCCACTAAAAGCCCAAACCAGGCACACGGCTCCTCTGCCCCCACGCTATCGTGTGTGGACGCGACAATTGCGTCTGCAGCTCACTTGCGGTCGTTCCCGCACACAACAGAACCGCGGTCGTGGGATGGATGGCACCCTGGGGCTGAAGGGTGAGCTTTGCACACAAGCAAACCTGCCGTGTCTAAAACGTGCTCCAGACCGGCAGCACGCAGGGGAAAGGAAGGGACGCAGCAGCGGTCCAGCGAACCCCCGCCCCGGTTCAATCGGCCTCAAACGCGCGCGCGAACGAAATCGACACGAAAAACAACAAGAAAAACAACAAAATTCAAGTCAGAGACGGGTGAGCCAGCCCGAGTTTGTGCAAGGTAAAGCTATAGCGGAAAGCAGAGGTTCGAGCAACACCGTGCAGGTCGTCACGGCAGTACCACACCCAATTTGGGTACCAAGCAACAGCTATTCACAACAACTGTTTACAGACGAGATACAGACCTCGGTCCATCCATAGGTCGACACCACGGCTTGACCCCATCTGACATTTGAGCCGGCAACAAAAACTGCGGACACGTTCAATGTCCGCAGTTTCCCTGACCGGGAATCGTGTCCGTCGCCTCTCTGGCTCGACGACTCGGTCGGTCCGTATCTCTGGGACCGCTGGGTAATCGATGCTGTGGAGGGGCGCGAGTCGGTCAGGGGCCGGGCTTCTCTCTTGTGCACGCGACATGCAGCAGTATCCCCTCTGTTCTTCTTGCTCTTGTGGGAAGGCTTTGCTCTCGTGATGGATGCGGGATCTGAATCTCGCCTTGGATGCTCGTGCCCGCTCGCTGGTCAGGGTTGCCTGCCTTTATTGCGGCTGCAGGTTGCGCTTGCTTGGGTGTGTGGGAAGTTGGCGCGTGTTCTCTCCACACATGTGAGGCGCGCTTAAGGTGCACGCACTTCCTACCTTTGCTGTTGTGGTTGTTGTGGCTATCCTGTGGATCTTAGACGCACACACCTGACTCGGCTCAGGCTTCGTTGATGCGCAGGGTGAAGGAAGGAAAGCTGATGGGTGCCCACCACCCCGTATTTTTGACAAGTCCCGTCGCCCCAACCAGCGCCAACGAGGCTCAGGAACGGCACCAAACGAACAAAAACCCCGCGCTTCCGCTCATTAGTTGAGCACCTGCACAGCCTTCTTCCTTTGACCCACTGTGGCGCAAGCCAAAGGGCAGTCATCTGCACATCCTCTTTCGATTCTGTCCCCACCTCTCCTTTGACGCCAACCCCGGCAGACCACACTGCGTCCCATCAACCTTGGTTTCGCCACCGATCCGACGCCCGCCCGGCACCTTGCTGCCGTTTTGTTGGCGGCCCCTCCGCACCCAATTGTGCCCGCTGTGTTCGCGCGTGCGAGTGCGATTGTAGCGAAAAGGCACCACCACCCTCTGCTCCCGCAATCCCTGCTTCACCCCACATCCTCGTCCCGCTATCCACAAGCGATCTTGAAGTGTTTGTTGCCCGGCGCCTCTCCTGCAAGCCCGGCTGCCTTCCTCCTGACAAACACAAACACCAACCTTCCCCACCCCATCTGTTATCCGGCACCGGCCACTTCTTCATTGCCGCCACAGCATCGCCGCACTTGTTCCGCCACGCCGGGGCTAATCTCGGCGACACCGCGCGCGTCCTTGGCCTGGCTCGAGCCCTTGCCCGTGCTTCCGCTGCCCCTGACCCGTCCGGCTGCCGCACCTACACTGCGCGTCAACTCCTGTCGCGGTCCTCGTTGGTTGGCGACGAGCCTGACCAAACACAAAAGCGTCGCAACACCCCCGCGACCGCCACCTACTCCCTTCCAACGGCATTATGCAGAGCGTGTCGGAGCCCAGCGACGCAGGTGTGCCGCCCATGGGCCTCAACTCCCGTAAGGAACTGGGGGACCTGGATGATTTTTCTTTTGCCCTCGATGCCGAGCTTGGCACCATGGTGTCTTCGTCAAACACCACCGCTTTTGATGACCGAGTCTTGGGTTCCACCGGAGAGACACATCCCACCATGAGCCTGCCAGATTTGAATTTTCACATGATGACCCGGCCCATGAGTGGCGCGCATGAGCGCCGCCCGCGCAGCAGCATGCGTCACCATAGCGTCGGCGACGAGGGAAGCCGCCCGCTTTCTCCACGGCTCAAAGGCTACAAGCAAACCTCTCGCCCGAGCTCGCCCTACCGGGACGACTCCCCGTACCGTCGACCACGCGCCTTCTCCAGTCAATCCCAGCACCGTCACGATCGGACCAGCTCCCTCAGCCAATCTGCCGTCAACCCCGCCGTCTCACGTATCTCCAACTTTCGAGATCGCGTTCACTCCACACCAGAGCATTCGTGAGTTTGACATCCTGCTGGTTTTGTAGCTCAGGGCCAGCAGACCATCCGCCAGCGTTATACAGCCGACGCCCGCTCACACCACCCACAATATCTCGATGCCATTGCACGCAGGTTTCAGCACCAGATGCAACCGCAACACATGCAGCAACGGTCAAGCATGAGCAGCAGCACGCATTCTAGCATGGCCGGCGCTGGCCACATGAGTCGCTCCTACTCGCTCTCCGCTGCACAGACCCCGGTGTCCAATCAAAGCCGCTCCAGCGTTCGCACCAACATTGTCAGCGTCGACGACGAGCTGGCCAGCCTCTTTGACGTGGCGCTAGGCAGCGCCGCCCACCAGCAACATCGACCCCAGCCTGCCGTTCCTTTGCAGGAGCGTGAGCTGCCGCCATCCTTTTGGTCCCCTAAAAAGAACCCCAACATGGCCACGGTCAGCCCGCGAGCCTCCCCACGACCCCAGCGTCGACTTGACATGCCCGAGCCCACCCCGCAGGCCAACGATGCCGCTAGCGTGCATTCCCACCACAGCCAAAATGTGGACTTTGATCCGTACGTCTCAGGATATCCCGCCGCAACCCCTTCTTCTGCCGAACGAGAGAACCACTCCCAGCTCCATGGCGCGAGCAACATGAATGTGAATCAAACGGCCTCGACGCCACAGCCCGAGGCATCTGCTAGTCTGCCAGAGGTAAGCTGACCACTTTATGCCAAGCCTCGAGGGGGTGGGGGTGAATACTTTGCCATGCATGTGTGATGATTCTGGTTCTATCCTTCCCTAACATTGAACTGGTGCTTGTTTCGGATGATGTAGTTGGATGCTTTGTTGGGCGAGTTGGCTGGACCCGACAATGGTTTGGGCAGTGGTATGGCTTTGTTTGAGGGGCTGGATCACCTGCTCGAGGCCGAGGCCAACCTGCTGGGTATGGCGGATAATGACGAATTTAGTCTCTTTGAGGGTCTGGGCACGACCATCTAAAGGGCACCTTTGGTCCTCGTGCTGGGTTTTCGGCCTTGAAGCACCGTCGACATGGCCCTTGCCTATTCTTAGCCATTGTCCTCTTTTGTTGAAGAGTTGCGCGTGCATTCATGTTAGCGTGTGCGAGGAGTGTGGACAGGTACCTGGGCGTACCGTTGTGCCATCTGTCCTCGTGCCTCATCTTGTGCGTGGGTGAGTTGCAGCCCACCTCCGCTGTTGTGTCGCCGTGTGAGAAACAAACGAATTCATATAAGTTGCCTCTTTGTCCAACACGTAAACACGTTGATCAAGAGTGAAGTAACAAAGAAGGGCATCAACTTGACATGCATGCCAAAAAAAAAAAAAAGAAAGAAAAAAGAAAGAGAAGGCCAACAGCACCATGTATTCCCATCTGGTCACCCACGATAGTACTAGCATGGCCCAACATGGCTTAACTGCGGCGATCGGACGAGAGCCGGTGTATTCCATGTGGTATGACCGTTGGAGATATGTGAGTGGTATCAAACGCTTTATAAACTAGGTGCGTCAGTTGAGCACACCTTGAAGCAGTACAACCCGCTTCTCTTTGTGCATTTTTGATTGACATGTGAGAAAAGCTTGTTGTTGATTGTCAAGCAAACGACACAAGACGGGGTATCGAGACGGGAAGGCTATGCTTTTGAGGTTCGGGTAAACCCGACTGACGCGCACGGCGCGTTTCAAGCTCCCAAATGCCTGCTTCAAGTTGCAGGGCTGGGCACTCGATCAAAGCGACGAGAAGGTTGGTCTCGGTGGAGGAACAGCAGCAAAGAAGTTGCGGAAGATGGCCTTTTCACTTGGTGGTGTTTGTCGAGCTGTCGTCGTCGTCAGCGGCGGCTTCGGCATCTTCCACTTGCTTGCGGGACACAACGATTTGGTCGATGAGGCCAAAGTCCTTGGCCTCTTGCGCTGACATGAAGCGGTCTCGATCCAGCGCCGCCTCTATGGGTAGCCGTGCATTTGGGCCGTGAGAAGGCGCAGGCCCAGGCGTGCGTGTGTGCGTGTGTGTGCAGGGGAAGGGGTTAGGGGGATGTGGCTCGGCCGCTGCGGGGTGTGCATGGCCAGTCAAGCGGGGCTGCAGGTTGTCAATACCAATTTCATCATAGGTGCGGCCCGTGTGGTGGGCATAAAGGTTGTTGATGGTTGTTTTGAGCTTGAGGATTTCCTCGGCGTGAATGGCAATATCCGAGGCTTGGCCTCGGGCGCCACCGCTGGGCTGGTGGACCATGATGCGCGAATTGGGCAGTGCGTAGCGGTGACCCGGGCTTCCGGCGGTCAGCAACAGCGAGCCCATGGAACAGGCTTGGCCACTGCACACGGTCGTGATGCGCGGGCGAATGTACTGGAGTGTGTCATAAATGGCCAAGCCAGCAGTCACCGAGCCGCCGGGTGAGTTGATGTAGACGCTGACGGGTTCATCTGGATTTTCCGATTCAAGATGCAGCAGCTGCGCAACGATGGTCGAGGCCATGGCATCGTCGACCTAGGTAGGAGACGAGTGTGAGCAGGGCGCGGTCGGTGTCAAGGGTGTGCGCTGAGCGGAGCAGGGCCAACGTTCCACGAGCTCAAGCATACCGGGCCCATGAGACAGACGATGCGTTCTCGCAACAGACGCGAGTAAATGTCAAAAGCTCGCTCGCCAACTGGCGTTGATTCGACGACCATGGGCACTAATGCTGGCCGCGCCACGCTTGTGGTCAGCTGACGACCCAGCTAAAGTGGAGGCAGAAAATGGGGAGGAGGTTGAGCAGGGAGTTGACTTGGTTGCAGTGCCGCCCTGGTCCATGGGCGCACCGCGGACACTGGCGAGCAAGAGTGCCAGGGCAGTGGAACACTCACTCACCACGGCATACCGCCAGGCTGGCCGAGCCAGCATTCGCAGAGACAAGCTCGCCATACGACTGATACTCAAAAGCCAAGCAGCCTGTTCGTCGTCATACGCCCCAACACGATCTGTGGGCTCTGTGCTGTCAACCGTCTCCTCTTATTCCAAAATTAAGGGTTAAGATGAGGCGGCAGAGGCGGCGGCGGCGGCGCAGGAGAAGCCAGTGACCAGAGCTGTTGAATCCGGCACTTCTGCGAAAAAACTGTAAAAAAAACCGAATGACACTGAACAAAATGGCCTGACAGTTTTGTGAGAGGTATGAAAAGTCAGATGAAAAGTGGGAAAAAGAACTCTTGTAGAACACCTGTTTGGAACATGTATCTTGTAACACAGACACGTTCCCTGGACGTGTTGGGGTGAAGAAGGGTCGAGAGTTTTTATGCTGATTTATCAGGCGATGCTGAGTTGCATCGGTGACGCTTTGTTTCTTTTGTTTCAACGCTGACAACAGTCAAGTATGTGTGTGGCTTTGTGTGTGTGTGTAGTTCTCTGTCTCTGTCTCTCTCTCTCGTTCTGTGTGTGTGTGTCTCTCTCTCGTTCTTGTGTGTGTCTCTCTGTCTCTGTCTCTGTCTCTGTCTCTGTCTCTGTCTCTGTCTCTGTCTCTGTCTCTGTCTCTGTCTCTGTCTCTGTCTCTGTCTCTGTCTCTGTCTCTGTCTCTGTCTCTGTCTCTGTCTCTCTCATTCATTCTCTCTCACTCTCTCTACGTTTGCCGGGTACGTGCCGGGGGGGCTTGGCAGGACAAGTGGCAGCCGTCTCTTGATTCAGTTGCAGCAGGAAGGGGTACATCAGTCACGGAATAGGAGGGGAAGAGCTTCTTGCGTTGATGTACTGTCGGCGTGTTGGTTGTTGGGATCAACACTTTGGCTTGAAGCTTTATGGTCGGGACCGCCCCCCGCTGACCTGACCTTGCTCGGGCCGTAGGATATCGGGCGACCGCCATCATGGGGAGTAAGAACATCAAGCACAACCCCATTGCCTGGGCCATGTGGGCCAACGTGCTCTGCGTTTACGCATCAGCCAGTGCGTTTGTGCTTTATTTTTTTTTTTCCCAGTCGTCGTCGCACTCGCCCGCCTCCCCCCCCCGCTGAGCTCACTTTGGGATCTTGTCTGGCTGTAGTGATGGTCCTTGGTGGCTTTCTGTCTCAATTCGGCTTTCGTCGGAGTGGCATTGGAATTGCCGTCATGTACGTGCTTTGCATTCCTTACGCTCTCGGGCTAGAGATGCTTCTCTTGGGTCGCCGCCTCTCGACCTTACACACACGCACGCATACCCCCCACCCCGCCTCCCCTTGACCTGCGTAGGGTGTTGGGTGTTTTGGTTTTGTTCGTTGAATGGCCTCGCTCGGCTCGTCTCAAGGGCAGCACCATTCCGCGCCTGTATCAATACTCCATTGCCAACATTGTTGACAAGCTGGGACCTGTGGCTCGCAATTATTTTGCCCGGGCCATCTTCTGGCTCGGCGCCAGTATTCCCTGCTTCTTCGTTTTCCCCGCCATTGCCGGCGCCTTGACCTTGGCTGTCGGGGCCCTCGTCTACTTTCTTGCTGCCTTCAAGGGAGAGGTCTGGGTTAAGCTTGAGCCACAAAAGGAGCGCGCTCGCGGCAAGGTTTATGAAGCCCCCACACGCGCCCCGCCCCGCCTGACCCATCGTGGCAAGCCCGAGGCCAGCGCCAATGCCACTTCAACCGCCAGCACCGCCGTGACCATCACTGCGGCAGAGACCACGCCATCCACCACCACTTCCGCGCCCAGCCGTAAGGCTGGTCCCGACACCTCAGCGCCGGACCGCCCCGTGCCACTTCCTCCCAAGGCTGCGGGTGCCAGCAGTCCCCCAGCCGCCGCGCCCAAGCCCGCAGCCCGCCCCGTCCCAGCCCCTAAAGCGCGCGCCGCCAAGCCAGACGTCTTCAAGAACTGGAGCTGGGAGGCGGCGGCCGATCCCAGCTCGGGTGCCGTCTACTACATCAACACGTCCACCAACCAAACGCAATGGGATAAGCCCGCGCACTGGGATGAGTACGTGGCCTTGTATGGTGAGCCCAACTCAACCTACACCGACGCATAGTGCCAAGCTGCATCTGGTCGATGCCCTTTGCACATTATGGAATAATAAGAACACAATACTCAACAATTGTGGTTTCGTCTCCCTCCCTGCCATCATCATGATGTTGGGTTGCAAAAGGCACTTTGCCCCGTTTTTCTTCATCCTCGATGCTGGTCATCGAGAGACTGTCGTTTTTTTTTCCCTTTTTTCCTCGTCCCATCCTGCTCGTGAGCTTGTGAACCTTGCAGTGCTTCCAAGTTTCTTTTTTCTAATTGTACATGTACTTACAAGATACTGTCTCGGTGCTCTCGAGGCCGTGTGGCTACTCGCTGGCTCAATGTGCAGGGCCTTAACTTTGTCACATGTGGACCAAAGTTGCCGCGGACAAAAATTAACAATTAATCTGCAATTGTACTGACACGAAAACGGACGACTAGAGTGTACAACACCGCGTGGCCAAACACCACCGCACACAGGCAGGTCAATGAACAGGCGCAGGACAAACGTGCACGCAACAGGAGCCAGCAACCCCAGGCCGGTGACGAGGGCGTGCGCTTTATGCCGTCGACGTCTCTTTTTCTGCCGCATAGCGGTAGTGCAGGTCGTGGACGCTGTCGGCACTGATCTTGACCCAGCCGGTTTGACGCATGTGGTACACTGCAAGGATGCGAACAATTTGCGAAACATGGGCACACGCCGTAAAACAGGATACATGAGCAACAGAAAGAAACAGAAAGAAATAGACCAAACTGGACAGTTGTAGCAAAATGCCAAGAGCCGAGGCGCAAACTGCCAGTAGAAACACAACACGTAAAACGTACGATTGACGGTGCCGCCAGAGTAGGCATCACGGAAGGTGGCGTGGTAGATGGCGCGACGACCCAAGTCCTGAGCTTCCTCATCCGAGAGGTCCCACTTGTAGCCCTGACAAATGGCACCAAACCCACAAGATTCCAGCAGGATGACGACAAAATGAGTGACGCGGCGTGCGTGCGAGAGACCAGGGTTGACGAGTACGGGCGTGGACGTGTGGGTTGCGGTGCGGGCACACACCGCATCAAGAACACCGTAGGCATAAGTCGAGCCCGACCCAACGGAGAACATGTTGTTCGTCAAGCGGGTGCCGTCCGAGTCGACGTAGAAGAGGCCCGGGCCCTTCTTGTCCCAGCCACAAACCATGGTACCCATGGAGAGGCCCATGTTGCGGTAGTTCCACACAATGTTGGCCAAGACCTTTGAGGCCGCAGCCACTGAGATGCGCTCGCCATTGCGGAGTTCATAAAGTCTGCACCAGGCGCGCACGACGAACAGGCGGGTGTTTATCAGACAGCCAAAAAGAGGCACGAAAGCGAAGTCAGGGCAATATATAAAACGAGAAAAAAATTGAGCCTTTTTCGCACCGGCATTGCATGGCGAGATAGCGCTCCCAATAGGAGCAGTCAGCAGCACCACCAGCCATGGTACCGAGGAGGTACGGGTTGATCTCAATGACCTTCTTTACCGTCTGGGAAGCTATCCAAGCAGCCAGACATGGGAGGGCAAGCGGCGTGAGGACGAAGCAAGAGGACGACGCAAGAGGACGACGCAAGAGAACAAAGCAAGAGGACGACGCAAGAGGACGAATACAAGAGGACGAAGCAAGAGGAAGAATACGAGAGAAAGGATACGAGAGGAAGGATACAAGAGAAACAGGCGGAGAGGCCAAGACATATGGGGAAGCGAGAGGGAGAGAAAGAGAGATGTAAAACAGGAAAGAGAGAGAGATGTAAAACAGGAAAGAGTAAAGAAAAACCCCAAAACGAAATATTCAAAACCAAAAGACGCACCGATGTAGCTGCCGGCGGTGGCGCGCGAGTCGACGGCGATGATCACACCACCCTGATACTTGAAGCCGAGCGTGGTGGTACCATGTGCAATGTGAATCTTCACGTTGCCATCGCCGTTTGTGTTGGTGTAGGGCGCCAAAAAGTTGACGGGCTAGGTACAAGAATATGTGACGTGGAGGCCAGGTGAATGGGGGGGCCGCTCGGGACCACAAATCATGCAAAACGAGAGGCCGAAGGCCAGATTCCAGACAAGGCAAGCTGCAATGGACGCTCACATCCTGCGCTGGGAGGTCAAAAGAGGCAATGGGGCCTGGGCAGAGGGCAGCCTGATCTTCATCGTCTCCAAGACCCAGCTTGGTGACTCGCTTCTCGCGCGAGGAGAACGCCGTGGAGGCGCTCTGCGCCATGGCCAGATGCGCCATTTTGTCTGCTACAACGCACACACACACGCGCACACACAAACAAAACAACCGGCAGGGAAGAGGAAAGAAGCACATAGTTCCGGTGAGCGGGGCAAGACGGGCCCAGGGCGACACGTCAGCCACAGCCCGAGCACGGGCGGCCACATCCGCGACTTGCAGACTACGCACCTTGTCACTAACAACGTAAGCGTCAGGGCGAAAGAAACAGGAGGTAGGCGTCGAGATGAAATGGTTCACTGGCCTGGTAAAGGCGAACAGAACCAGGAGAGGGCAGGAGCACAAACACGCAAGGCCAGACAATCGGCGCTGCCGTTTAACGAAAATGAGAACAAAAGCACAGATGGACGCCACTGAACACAGCGAGAGAGAGAGAGAGAGAGAGAGAGAGAGAGGAGAGAGAGGGAGAGAGTCTCCACAGAGATTTAGGAGACCAAGAGACCCAATAATGTCAGAAAATCAGGGGCTCAGGCTGTTTCTCTGTTCAGTGTGTGTGTGTGTGTGTGTGTGCTCGCGTCACTTTCAACGGCAGGGCTGAGGTGCAGCGAATGGATGGGATAGCGCGCCGGCGCAGCGATACTCTCACTGGGGTTGCTTGGCGCGGCGGTTGGAGTGAAGCAGATGTATATGGGTGTACCGGCTGTGGGATCGAGGAGGACAAGGAGCTGGAGGGAACATCGAGGACCGGTCAAGGGTTCGGCAGCATTTCAGGGCTGGCCGTGTTTCGAGGGTGGGCCTGCAGCGGGGCCTGCAGCGAGCTTGGCTGAATTCTCACCCACTGCATCAGAGAAATGGATGAACATGGCGCGGATGCCAACATGAACTCTTCAGAGGCAGGCATGGCGTCACCTGTGCCCACGTTTCACGCGATACCCGTGGTGCATCCAAATTATCGCGGCGTCTTTCACATCCCGCCGGGGTTTGACCCGGCTTCTGCTCGCTACCTGGGTGGTGGAACGTTTGGGGCCGTCATCTCGGTGGCTGCGCCCCCCGACCCCAACGGGAGCCACGACGGCTATCGCGTGGCCATCAAAAAATTCACCCGGCCTTTTCAGGACCGCGAATTTGCCCTGCGTACCCTACGGGAGATGCGGATCCTTCGGCACCTACGCGGTGGTCCCGAAAATCACGTCGTTCAATTCTTGGGTGCCTACACCCCAGACGCGTCGCTTGATTTGCTTGAGCAAGTCTACGTCGTGATTGAGGCGCTGGACTTTGACCTGCGCAAGATCCTAAATAGCCGTCGCCTCTCAGAGGATCTGATTCGGCACATTATGGTTCAGGTGGCCCAAGGCCTGGAGTACATGCACTCTGCCAACGTGCTGCATCGTGACCTCAAGCCAGAGAACATTGCCTGCAACTCCGACACCTCCGTTCGGATCATCGACATGGGGCTTTGCCGCACGCAGCGTCAGGCCAAGGACACCCCATATGTCCAGACTCGCTTCTATCGAGCGCCAGAGATTGTCTGCCTCTGCGAATATGATCGACCTGCCGATTGGTGGTCTTTTGGTGCGATTCTAGCAGAATGTATGTTCACATGTCGACATGGCGTGTTCTGCACATCCTCAAGCGACACTGGCTTCAGACAGACACATGTTCTCTCCCCCAGTGTTCATCGCGACACACAGCCTTTGGCGGCCAGCACATCTCATCGTATCACCCCCCCCCCCCCCCC